AGAACAAAAGCATACGTATAATTATTAATATCATACTTTAAGAACAATATTTTAAAATAGCATCTTTTACGACGTGTTTCTTTTTTTAATTTCAAAACCAATTTTCTTATCTACTAGTTTACAATAACGTTTATCATTTTGATGACAATAGTCGTTAAAGCTAACAAATCTTATTGTTCGTAATGTAAGGATCTGCATAGCTTGTATATTTTTTAATTCTTACTCTTATGAATGGAACACAATACCTGAAGGGATTTGGTGGACGTGTTGGTTCTACAAGAATTCCATTTTGAGCGGGCACGCTTTTCGTTTCCGTTATAGAATCGTAAATAGGTCTGTTTTTACCCACATATACCATTTTTGACCTAATTGTAACATAAAATTTTAGGTGTAGTTACATAAATATTTGTTTAAATTTTGAGTGTAATATATATGTTGAGGATCCCTAAGGTAATATACAGGGTGCAGCAATTGTTGTTGATATAAATATTATAGACATAGAATGTGCAGTCGTGTACAGAAATATGTGGACACTTTTCAAAATAGCGTAACTTTTTTAAAATTGGGCCAAACGACTTGAGTTTCTTTGAGAAGTTAGAAGGATTAGTTTTCTAGGTGACGTGTGCAAAAAAATTTGAAAAAATTGCAATGTGAGGGAATCCCGAAGAAAATTGTAAAGGTCACTGTTTACAACTTCTTTATCTGGGCTTGTAATGAAAATTTAAAACGTACGTTTTGTAGATCTATGTCAATTATACACATGTGCATCAGAACATTCAGATTTATTACAGATCTAGGCCGAAAGTCGTGAAATAATGTGATTTTCACAATCTTTAACCGTTAGTTGCTCATAGCGCCTGATTTTCAGCATGTGATAATTGACATAGATCTACAAGAAGTATGTGTTAAATTTTCATTACAAGCCCAGATAAAAAAGTTGTAAACAGTGACCTTTACAATTTTTCAAAATTTTTTGTACACGTCATCTAGTAAACTAATCCTTCTAACTTCTCAAACCAAGCTCAAGTCGTTTGGCCCAATTTTAAAAAAGTTAATCTATTTTGAAAAGTGTCCACATATTTCTGTCCACGACTGCATGTGTGCGTGAGTGTGTAACAGAACACAGTCCTTAAGTTTAAGCGTGTCACGTGTAGAATAGTCCATGGATTTCGGCAATCCGACTATTTCAATGTTGCATCGATGCAAACGGGCACCACTTCGAACATCTATTATAATGTAAGATTTGTTGCTTACTCTTTTATTTATTGTCGAATGACTTTGTATTAAGGGCTGTTGAAATCGTTTAAACATCCTCTACTCTATCAGGGTTAAGAAAGTACGGCAAGGAATATACATATAAAAATGAAAGTAATCTTGAAATCTCCGAAATTACATAATATTACTGCCATATTATGGCCCCTTCTGTACCGTGCGACTTTCGTAAACAAAGTTTCTTCATACCTCTAAAAAGAATGGAGATATTCAAGGTGATCAAAATTATTGCTTCACCCTGTGTACAAGGTGTCCAAGTTTAATCTATAAATGCGAATTATTCGTAAACTACCCGCTGCATGAAAAGTGGTTCAGAGAGGAATTGAATGGTTTCGAGGAGGACATAATCTGGTGTAATTAGTTTTTCAAGTGACATACACTTTTTAAAATGGAATCACATAATGTTTAATACACTAGTCGATGCAACTCTTTATTTTCTATAAAAAAGTATTGATATATGTATTTATATAGAAAAGCCATTCGTTTAGGAGATATTTTAGTCTCAATATTGCCAAGTGGTATTAGAACACCTATTTGCACGTACATTTTCTGAATTGATAGTGGGCATTGTTTTTTACAAAATGAGAGGATGGCAATGAGATGATGTCAATCATGTATCATTTCATGTGTTATTTTATTAAAAAATTTGTTAAAAAGAACATCGAAAGCAATGAATTTATTTATCAGTTCAAATATTCAAAGACATACTCTTAACCCTTTCGCTACGGCGGTCCTCGCTGCGAAATCCCTTCCGTAGAACGAGGCGCCGCGCTAAATGTGTAGACATTGCGCGCACGCACGGCTTCAGCGGGGCCAAGCCTTTGTTACGTTCGGGGCCAAGTCTTTCGTCTCAAAAACGCCATAGTCACCGACTATAGTCACCCGTCGTAGCGAAAGGGTTAATTTCCAATGCCTGTTTGTATGCTTGCATGAAATTATTTCATTGAGATTGTCCCATTGCCCTCCTATCATTTTGTAAAAAACAATGCCCACTGTTAATTCAGAAAATGTAGGAGCAGATAGGTGTACAAGTACCACTTTGCAATATTCAGATTAAAATATCTTCTAAATTAATGGTTTTTCGGCATAAATACCTTGTAGTGACTTTCCTACGCTCTGCTACCAGAGGGACGGACTAATCACGAATTCTCGCTAGTCCTCATAAAGGCTCCTATTTGTATATATACAACTTATGACCTGAGTCCTTCCAGTCCCTCCCGCGTCTAAGGCACGGGTCTCCTAGAAAGTTTTACTGACGAGTCCGCTAGGAGGCCCAAGACGAAACGCCCAAAACAACACCCTTTCCTTTTCCGCTGATCATTCTACCAGATTCCTCCATCCCTTTAACCTTAATACTTTTTCATAGGAAATAAAGAGCTAATGCATTAAAAATTATACGATTCCATTTAAGAAAACGTATGTCACCTTCACATGACCTCTACGCGTCCATCTACAAAAAAACAAATTACACCAGATTATGTCCTCCTTGAAACCATTCAATTCTTCTCTGAACCACTTTTCATACAGCGAATAGATTATGAGTAATTCGCATTTATAGATTAAAATTGGACACCCTTGTGTAGGAGCATAAGACTGTACATAGGAGTGTTAATGGGTTTATAACATATCCATTGCTATGGAGTGAGCAGATGCAGGCTCTAGCCGAAGACCTTCTGCTGCTATAAACGAATTTCTGACCCCTGACTTCTGGTCCGAACGTTTGACAATGATAATAATTCTTTTCATTAAAACTTTCTCGAAAATAGCTGTTCCAGGCGTCCGCGTCGTAAACCTAATAGCCTTGAACTCAGTGGCATGTTAGCGCAGTTCACTACTATGATGAGCGAACTTACTTTTTATGTTACAAATGCTCAAAAATCAAAGCTCAAACGTCCACCGGCGGCGATACATTGTCTAAAACGAGAATTCACGGATTGTGATGCTCCTTTAATTGCTTCTGACATGATAGCAGCACAAGTTATAAATATGCGATTTTTTATGTTTTCTAGAGTGGTAGATTATTACTGTTGCTAGACGCAGAATGTATCAAGTTATGTTTGTCATAGCTTTGTTACGTACGCAGCCTTTTAGTCTATCTTACATCCCTTGGAAAGCTCTTGAGATAGGGCAGATGAGCGCATTCCGTTCCCAGGAAAATCTAGCGTCCCCACCACCAAAACTGATTTTTTACGCTCAGGGTCGCAGTCTTTTACCAGAACGTTACTTTGCCAGTCGGAACGCGAGCAAGATCGGGTTGTAGTCCCTTTCGAGCATAGAATTATTATATTCTCAATACGGTCTAAGACACCTCCGCGCCTCGTTGCGTAAACTGAGAAGAAATATCCTCGCCAAGTCGAGAATTAACCATTTAACTATTTAACTATCATTGTAAACCGATCGTTGGATCGAAGTAACTTGTAACTTCTTATTTATACTAGAATATATATATCATCATTAAGTCAGACTCAAACATTTCAACCAAACCTCTTCTAAGTAACATTAGTAACGAATCAGCTAAACTCACAAAGATATACCTTTACCGCTCGAGGTATATCGAACATTACGACATGCAAAGTCCTCAGATCCTTCCAAACTGGAGTACGACGTATTCTACACACGTTGAATGTTCCAACTGATCCATCCTTTGGAGAATGACGTATCAACATACGTTGAGCTCACAAAGATATACCTTTACCGCTCGAGGTATATCGAACATTACGACACGCAAAGTCCTCAGATCCTTCCGAACTGGAGTACGACGTATTCTACACACGTTGAATGTTCCAACTGATCCATCCTTTGGAGAATGACGTATCAACATACGTTGAATGTTCCAACCTCCTATGAACTAATCGACATTCCGCTCCGTATGAGGACACAAGCGTACGCCGTAACAGCCTTTTAGAAAGAGAATATCATCAGTGTATCTGTTAACGTTTCATGATGAAATACGCCAAGCAACAGCGAAATGAAATGATTTTTGTTTATGCTGAAGCTAAATGGTGCTTGAGAGAAGCTGTACGAATGTACGGAAAACGATTTCCCAATTGTAAGTGTCCATCTCTTTCATTCTATTCTGACGTAATTAAAAAGTTTAACGGAACCGGAAATATTAAAAAAAAAAACGTCAGAAATCTGAAAGGGTAATGCACGAATCAAATGTACAAAAAGTTTTGTTGCTGTTATTAATCAAAATCTGCACGTCAGACAACTTGAGTAAAAAATTAGGATTAGTAAAGCAAGCATAGGGCGTATGCTTAAATTACAAAAATTTCATCTATATTCCACTTGTTGCTTCATCAAGATCTTCACGACGGGAATATTGAAAACCGCGTCTTGTTTTGTCGATGTGTGTTACAACAATTTGAGGACGATGAAACATTCTTCAGAAAAATACTGTTTACTGATGAAGCATCTTTCACTAACCATGAGCAGGTTAATCTTAGAAAAATAATATTATTGGTGTTAATGCTCGTGGATGTTACATCTTAACGTTCGAGCCTTGCGGTAATTTGCACGTGGTGTGTGGTCTAAATAATGTTTCGAAGGACCACCCAATGTAAATTGGGACTTATAAAATATTCTAATTCTACCGCGTTGTGTTTTGCTGAATGAGCTGTTTGCTCCTTGGTTCTCTTTGTTTTAGATGTCTGAAGACGACTGACTCTCCGACGTCCCGTCTCGGACGTCCATGAGAGGGTTTTGCATTAGGACACGCTGATTGGTTAATGGTTAACAATTTCATTCACCAATCAGCGTGTCTAATATTGTCTTCATCGCCCTTCCAGTGCGCCCTTAACGCGCTGTCACCTTGGAAGGGTGGGATACGGTCGCGTGGCGTGGGCGATGGTCCCAAAATCTGGAATTTCCTCCGTGTGGCTAATCGACAAGCGGACTGTTACATATAGATGTATCGTTCAGAAATTCATGGTTCATGGTATGCTTTTAGGCTATTGAGCGTGAGAAACACGAATTACTAAAAATCTAACAAAGCAATTCTAGTGACCCTCGCCAGGATGTAATTAGACACGTGCAAGCAGTAAACGAAAATCCGGAACTAAAAAGTAACCGTTCCTTTTCGATTGTGCCATAAACCGTATCTACAGAAAACCTAACAATTGGTCTATAGAAAATCCTCGTTGGTTAAGATAAATAGATAGGTAAAGACCACGGACAGTAAATGTTTAGTATGACGTTTTAAATTATTAACAAAATTATTGGACCTTATTTTGTTGACGGGACACTAAATGGACAAAAATGTGCAAGATTTTTATGGGATGATCTAGATGAATCGATAGGAGATGTTGGGGCTTGCGGTTGATCTTTCGATCGTTCAAGCTTTGCCGGTTTTTGCACGTGTATGCCGACTAATGTTCTAAGGCTTCGAAGGACCAGTTTCTTGATTGAAACACTAAGTTTTTATTTTGAGTTCTATTTTCTACAACTAATTCAAGATATAAATTCTACTGCGAAGTGAGAGGTGTTTCTCTTGCGAGTGGCCAAGTGTTTCTCGCGAGTGGCCAAGTGTTTCTTGCGAGTGGCCAAGTGTTTCTCCCGCGAGTCGCCAAATGTTTCTGCCGCGAGTCGCCAAGTGTTTCTCCTGGAGTCTCTGTGGTTTCCCTCGAAGAAGACTCCTATTTTCCTAAAAACACCCTGATTGGTGATTTTGCCTTTTCTAAATCACCAATCAGTTTACTCCGGTGCATCGAACCTCCCTCCATTTCAGCCCTTAGCGCGTTATCTCAGGGTGGGGTGGAAGTGTTCGGTGGACGGATGCGTGGGAATCCTGTGGAATCTCCGCTTTTCTAGGCTTTGTTAAAGTCAAGTGGCCCATCGACGTTGGCAAAAGTCGTGGGCCACTTTTCTATTTTCCGCTCGGAGACTCCAGGACTTATGGCAGGGTCTGATCCTAGGGACTAAGTGTCGCAGGCAACGCAATAAACACTTGTGGTGTTTTGAGAAAGCGATATTTGCCTGCGACGGCGACCACTTGACTCGCTGCCATAAATCCGGCTACAGAATACGCCTTAACAGGAGATGTGCCATTAAGTGTTTGTGAGACTATACTGCCGTTCATAAGTATTAGGACACCTATTATGTTCGTACAGAAAATGTTATATAATTTAAATTACTTTTTTTTGGACAAAGTTAATGTCATATATCAGTAAAAATATACAGGATGTTCGTGCTATTAATTTCTAGAGTTTTTCTCTTACGTAGTAAATTTGTGAGAAAAATGAAAGCTGACAGTTTCATTATTTTTTATACCCAATACGGTGGCTTGAATAGATTTTTAAAGCTTGCAATACTTTTTAGCGTAACGAAGATACCACGAATTTTTATGTGAAAGCGGTTGTCGAGACAATTTCAACGACTTGCAACAGACTCACTTTCAAACTCAATTTCGTGTCAATGTTTGGTGTGGTATAATCAATGATACACTATTAGGATCTCATTTTTCTGTCGGCACCTTAAATCGAAATAGATATTTAGAAGTTATATCGTATATACTGGTTGTACTACGAGATTCTAGACTGACTAATTTTTTTCAGGATCTTAATAATTATGTAATGACTGTTTAGGTTTGCTTCATATTTACCAAGGGTTTACTTATGAACGGAAGTGTATGTGTCATCAATGTGATGGTTGTCTAGCTCATTATTCACAGGCAGCTACTCAAGTACTCAATAGAAAATTCTCAAATCACTAGATTGGACGTTATGACCGTACATCATGGCGAGCACGTTCACCGGACTAACACCATTAGACTTTTTTCTTTAGGGAAAGCTAAAAGAAGACGTTTACCGACAGCAACCCACCACTTTGGAAGATATGAAGAATCGCATAATTAAAGCTTAAACTGTTTTCACGTTAGAAGCAATTGAAAGAGCATTACAATCCGTGATTTCTCGTTTTAGACACTGTATCGCCGCCGAAGTACATCACTTTGAGCATTTGTAACATAAAAGCTAGGTTCACTTACCACCCTAACATTGTTCCAGAATTTCAACATTTTTTCAATGTTCAAGGTCACCTCAAAGTGATACGTTAGGCATATTGAATGCATCTTAACACGTGTTACAAGATGAAATAGAAAAAAGTATGTGTTTTCTGGCAAAAAAAAATACCAATGATCCTAAAAAATTTGAAAAGAAGATCATAAAAAACATTTTCTATTTACGATACTTCTCTTTTGAAATCATTTAAACTGTGTTTGAAATATTTCTGATATCGTTAAAAATAAAGGAATTTAAGTGTTTGATCTTAGCTGAGATACCCTGTGTTTGTACATAAAAGGTTTCGTTATTTGCCAGGATTATAGAACATGGCAAATCATACAAGGCCGAAGGTGGCTTCACTTTTTCTATCTACATATTGTATGTTCACGCTGGCAGAAAAAAAGCTACAGTAATGTTTCTCACATTGTCCACCAGCACGGAACCTAAACAGGACAGTTTGGGAAGCAGAACACTGTTTTCGAGCCTCGCAGCTCGCCTTTGTAGTTTGTCAAACGAAGATAAGGACAGCGAATAAAAGAGAAGGGTGAAACGAGAGTCGAGGCAACCAAGCGATTTAAACACCAACTTTTTTAATTTTACTTTCTTTTATTTGAAATTTTTTTAACATATTATTGGTGAAATTGTTCTGATAAAATGAGATCAAACACAATATAATTTTAACAACATTTACTTATTAACACGTTGTCTGTAACGTCAAATGTACATGTTCTCAGGGGGCCACAAGAAAATTTTCATTATTCTAAGCATAAGATTATATTATGCTTATTATTCTTTATTATTATTATCTTTTTTTAAAATTCAAAATACAGTATATTCTCCACAAGTGTCAGTCTGCAAGGAAGCTAAACCTGACACTTGTAGAGTGAGGGACTACGTTTTCGAGCCTCGCGCCCGCCTTTGTAGTTTGCCGAACGTAGACAAGGACACCGAAGAAAATATAAGCATGAAACGTGAGTTGGGCAACCAAGCGATTTAAATATCAACTTTTTTAATTTTACGTTTTCTTATCTTTTTATCCCGAAATTTTTCTTAACATATTGATGAGATATTTCTGATGAAAATGAACATTTACTTATTAACACGTTCACTGTCGCGCCAGATTTACAGGTTGCTGTCAGGCGGCCACAAGAAAATACATTTTAAGCATAGGATTATAGTATTATGCTTTATAATTTTTTTTTTTTCAATTGAAAATAATGTCTAGCTAGCTATGACGTTCAAAATTTTTAGTTGACAACATTTATTTTATTTTAATTATTCTAAACATTTGAGGCACTCCAGTCACTGATGACCACCATGGCCATATCGAGGAAACAATCTAATGTTAATACTTATTGAATGATTAATTTCCTTTCATAATATGTATATCGTTTCGGATGAATTATAAAAACGAATTGCTAGAAAAATACATTAAATATCTGTACACATTGTCCGTCGAATGTGGAGGGAGAGAAACCGTTTGGTGATGTAAAATAAGTAAATGTTCAAATTATATCGTGTTTAATCTCATTTTCATCAGAAAAATCTCACCAGCATGTTAAAAAAAAATTCAGATAAAAAAAAGTAAAATTAAAAAGTTATATTATTCTATTATGAACTGTCGAACCGTGAAATCTCGTAAAAAAAGCCGGGACGTGTAGCGTTACACGCTTGACTGACTGCGAGCGAGATAACATAGGCGCAGCAATGACGCAGGCCTATTTAGGTGTAGGACCATCTATGTCCTATGTGGACAATGTGAGAATCCAAACTGGTGAACAATGTGGGAGACATTACTGTACTCTTTCCTTCACTCATTTTTTGCTATCGTTATCTACTCCAGTCTTAACGCACACCACTGTTCTCTTTATATTCATTTCGAACTTCGAACACAGGAACAAATTTTTTTAATTTTCATCACGCATTTTTCTACCTTGCACAAAATTATAAAAACTAAATAGCCGAACTTGCAATAAATAATTCAACTTGCACCGTATAAGTTTAATTCCTCATATTCTGCATAGTTAAAATAAATATTTTTCAAGGACATCATTTTAATTTTATATTAGTTTTTCTGTCAGCAATCTAATCTAATAAAGGGCCAGTAATTTGTAATGCGGTATAATAGTATGTACTTTTATCTCGTAACATTTAACTTAATTTGGATTTCAAAAATTTTTAACTTTATACAGTATGACGTGTACTAATATTACTCTCTTTCAAAAAGTCATACAACTTTCGTAATAAATAAAGTATTTGTAATTAGAGCAAATATTTGCTGTCCGCAATACATATTTCTTCTCTAAAATTTTAAAAAAGAATAACGAATAGAATATAATCTTGGTGTAGGCTAGTGTGAAAAAAATAAATAGCAGAAGAATAAGATCATTTGTTGTTTATCGAGTGGAAAGTCGAAAAAGAAATAAAAATTCGAAACAATATATTCCATATCTTTTTTGTTTTACCTTAGTATTCGAAATCCATTATTATCCGCTATATAATCTTTCAGACGTAAATATCCAAGAGGATCTAACCAGCCCTCTGTGCCAATAACTGTACCATCGAGTAATCTCTTTTCTTTTCTATATTGTCCATTTAATGTTTGAAAACGGAAGTACCTTTCGGGTCCTTCATCTGTTTGAACGTGGTACTGTGTATTTGGATCAAAACTCCATCCACTTTTTTCAGCTTCTATTTCTTCTGTGGATAAGCACAGAACAGAAACCTAAAACAATAAATGTAATACACGTTAGTCTGCCACCAATTGCAAACATTATTTTATGTCAATTTCTTACAACATTCATTTTATTTATTGTAAAATCGCGAAAAACAAGATATATAATAATAACTCGACCAAGCGATCGCGAGATGTTTTATTTCCATGATCGTATTGGTGTTTTGGAAATAATTTGTTTTAAATAATCAATACTGATTCATTCCTTCACCAAACATTTTCTTCAAATGTTTTCGTTATAAACAAGAATATTATTAGTAATTCTCAATAATTCTATTTTAATAAAGACTTGCCTTATTATCGTGTACACGTATATTGTTTGTTAGTTTTGCGTATTATGCATCGTATGGATCTACATTATAAAAGAGGAAAACCACATTGGAAGAATAGTTAGAAACTGAATCATTTGGTACCGTTGTAAACAACTTGTTTGTTACATACAATTACCAAAATCCGAATTTCTCGAAATAAGAAATACGATTTGGGCCACTTTCATAAACACTGGTGTACATCCACACAAACTTATGCAACTGCTGAACATTTGAAAAGAAGACACTCGAGGAAATAGTAGTGAATCTAACTAGAGTACATGGAGAAATTGAGCTTCAAAGTTGACTGGGTTGTCTACATAATTCACACTGTCACGTTCAAGTTGTTAGCGGCTGAGCGGTAAGATAAATTGATTTCTGTGCGAGTGATCGGAATTCCGTTTCCATTGCGAATCTTTATTTTTTCATATATTCTTTCATCTATCCGTTGGTTATATAAATTTATACGTACCTACACAATTTAGGGGGGAAGCAACAAGTTTTTTTCCAGCATGTGAATGAAGTAAAAAATATGTTATATGTACCTTTTTTCGATCGAGTACTACCAGTTTTATTGAAGTTCAATCATCTCTAAAAATTCTATACTAAATATTCTTGTTTTTTCTTTTCTTTTTTTGCAAAACCTCACAAAAGATAATAATGTACATTATGTTAGGACCTTCTTAAAGAACTAGATTTATAATTCTTATACCGTGCTCTCGCTATTTTTCTATCGTAAGTATTGAGGACAGCGGAAGTAAGGGAAAGGTGATGGTGAAAATAGCATGAATGATAGGAACTATGCAGGCAATACCTTAGTAAAGTAATTCGGCAACTTTAACTCTCGATTTAGGTATCTGTAGAATGATCGACTGACACTTTCGATGATACAAAAGGTACCTATGTATTATATATACAATAACATAAGTTATAGGTTTCAATATTAAGCATGCATATTGAATTGCATAAATATGTTGATTCAAATGTAAATCGTGGTACTATATAATGATAGTAATCATTATTCTATGTACTATTTATTTCATATTTTTCGCAAAACATTTTATTTACAAAACTAAGAATACAACAACATTTTCTTCATTGCATTGATAATGATAAAGTTCGTTTAACGTTATGAAAGAACGAAAAATCAGTTGTATTCTGTTTATTAGATAAACTAACGTGTACTCGTATATATGCGATTATTTTTTCATAAATGTCACAGTAGTTAAAATTTAATTTGCAATTAGCATTACTTACTAGCAATATGTCTTATTTATGGGATGGCATGCGTAATTAGAACATGTTTTATTAAACGCACAGATGTGTGTCACACCAATAATGCTATTCGTGAAAATTAGTATTCATCTGGAGTTCATTCCTTTTTCATTACTGAATTATGCGGCCTTCACTATTCGAAATTAACGTGCATAACACGTTTCATTAATTATTCGCGTGCTTTACTAAACGACCACACTATGAGTCAAGTTTCATACGCTTTAATATTTTTTTAGACGAAAAATTTAAAAAATATAATAACCATTGCAAAACATTGTAAAAACAGATGCACAGCACTTTAGTGAAGAAAGATATTAACATATATATGTATATTGGGTTGAGAAAGAGAGAGATCGCTTTCTTCATTTAAGTAAACATTCAAGCAATAAGGTGTATAGATTGAAGATGAATCTAAACGGTGAGATGATAAAATCTATATTTATAATTTTTATTTATTTTATTGTCTGCAGCAGTGACATTTAATACACAATTATTCAAACAAAAGTAATCGACATGGTTTGAAAAACTTTTATCTTTCTTAATGAGAGTGAATCGAAAATCAATCTTTTTCGTTAGAGATATTAATGAATTCAAGTTTCCATTACAGTAATGACATGTACTGCAAGGAGTAATCTGGAAATAATCTAAAATAATAAATGTATTCATTTTATATGTAAGTAACAAAAAGAAACGACAATGATATTAAAATTATCTTGTTACACACAAACGATTATAATAATTATTTTGATTATATTTAATTGTTTGATTATCATGAAAAAGAGTTTACGAATACTTTTAGTACGCGCAGTAGTTTTTTTTACGTGCAACATAGTAAAGATTTTCTATTTTTTTGACAAACTTGTTGTCTGTGCTAAAACTTAACGTAGTTCATGTGTAATACGATCAATTAGGAAAAATTAAAGATAAGACCTACCGTTAATAGGTTCAAGCAGATTAATATCCACAAAAGCATAGTCGGTGAAATAATTATAGGGGTATAACAGAATTACAACACCATACTGTTATTTTCCTTCCTTTTTTATAAAATCAGAATCACATATTCGATTACACAATACACATTGAGATATCTTTTAAAAAATTACACGTTAGCACATTTCAAGTATCGTCCATAATCGTATTAGGACACGACTTTGTCCCTTTTGTTGTATCATGTAAGAAAGCAAATCATGCGAAGTTTTGTAATACTTACAAATTAATCTCTATTTTTAATATAAAGCAGTTGGAAATACAAGAAACGTTTGTAATTTCTGGAGAATTGAAAAAATTAAAACTAACAAATATTTTAGCACATAATTTGCCACGATTTCATTACAATGTAATATTTGTTTTTTGTCACGTATAAGCAAAGATATCGTTGAAACCGAAGGAAAGAGATTAGACTGTAAGTAGCACAGTGAATCTCTCGCACGTATTTGAACGAAGTGAGCGCAGTGAACGCGATTCAAGAACTGACGATGAGAAGAGATGGATACTTTGTGTTTTCAAAGCTATCGTCAACCATTCTATGAGTCTTCACTGTTGCATTTACGATCACGCCTCTACCATTTTAATCAGCTCACATAATTCTCCTCCCTCTTCCTCCAATAAAATCATCAACGCTTCCTTTGAAACACAATATTTACTTTTGTGTATTGTAAGTTTTATACGAAACACAGAAAGCTACTGATATACTCAATACTACAAACACCAATTTGTCACTTTTCTTTATTTAAGATGACATAGGTAAGTTGTTTTCACATCCCGTTTGGACAATTATAAGCGTTGCAAAAGACTACGTAATGGCTGACTCATCCTTATAATATATAATCTTAAATTCAATTGTGTGAATACAAATTGAAGTCACGATCACATGTTCGTTATTGTTACAGATCATATACATATGTATGTCGTAAGTTGTGATATAAATATCTTATATATTACGACAAAAGGTACTTCAAAGGATTAGGAGTAAAAGGTACTTCAAAATATTTAATTATACATAGACAAAGAAGGGTTATATTAAATTCTAATAATTAAATTTTGACATTCATAATTTATCAAAGTAGACATGCGAAAAAAGTATTTGTTCGTTTAATCAAAGTAAATAATTATCATGGGGTAGCAGTAATTTACGTAGTACAGGACGTACTCATTCGTCTTAATTTTCTCATTAACAAAAATTAATTTGTGTGTAAATTGGGTAGATTTTCATAACTGTGCATAGATAAAATGTCTTCTCCTTCTACAAATTCTTGAATATAATATATTACAACAAATGTAGCAATAAAAAAACGTACATATGGAACCATTAATTATTACGAAGTGAGTAATTTTTTGGTAGAATCTAATATTTCTGTAAAAGAATATTTTTGTCGCACAAAAACACACAACAATAAATAAGTAAGCTCTCATATTGTTTGTACATACATATAAGACAATTTTTGATGATGTTCTATCGTTTACAAATGTACGTCGGCATCAGATTATTGAAGAATAAGTTGCATATATGTATTACATATGAAGACCACAAGGAAATAACACGATAGGTCACATTTTCCGTATTTTCTTCAACCCCTTGAAAATTTCAAGAAACTTGATTGTCATTACATTAGTTATTCCCTTGGTTTAAAACAATAAACCACTGAAACCAATATTAAAATTCATGGGCACTAAACAGAAAAGCAACAAAAACGAAACGTGCAGTCAATACAGTCAATGTAATTCGACTCACAATTTTGGTTAAATAACTCAATATTATTGAGCTCAATAGCTATAATACTTTTCATGGACTTATCAAATTATTCTCTAATTCACTTGGACTTGCTGCCTTATTTCCTTGTGCACTTATTTTTCAAAGGCTTATATCTTTAAACCTGACAAGTTATTTCTCATTTCAACTGTTATATTGAAGTACTCCATTTTAGCTATAAGATAATATTAAAATCAGAAAATCAATAAAAATGGACTTATCATGGTTCTCCCCTGTGGTCCTCATATGGATGTACATATTTATTCGTCTTTTAATCGGTTGCAATATTACAGTAATAAAAGTATATCAGTTCAATTAAAAAAACACCGGTAAGCTAGGAATTTCGGGAAATATGATTTAAATTTCATAAAAAAATCTTAATTATGATAATACTTTCTGCTTCACAATAAATACTTTTTTCCTATCGTTCAAATCAACGGAGAAATGTTAGTTTTCAATCTTACGTGACTCACTCGGTATAGGTGTATACATACATATGTATATAGATAGTTTAACACTGTTGTACATATTTGGGTTGGGCAGGGTCAAACGAGATGTTAGGTACGTATAATTTCTTTGCAGGAAGCTCAGATTGTTTCTGAATAAAACGAGTTAACTGATTATCAATTAATGGATATACTCAGTACTTTTAAACAAACTGTATTATAATCTCAAATAATTTATCAAAGAATTTATATACATAATAAATTTTCTATTTCAATTATTTTGCATATCACATGATTTATCTAAAAATGAAATAAAGTATTTTAATCACTTTTCGCAATGTGATAAAGTAATACTGTAGATATAGATTAATTTCTTATTTTTAAACTTTCTTTGTAATAAATTTACGTTACCATAGTAGTACACTGAACTGATATATAGTAGTACAATGATATTTTGCTGTTTAAACGATATTTCGAGAAATTAGAAAATAGCTAGCACCTCATTTAGTGAAAAAAATATTCAATTTATTACATTTTAAAATATTATAATGTATTGCCATTGATACTTTGTTAGTTCAAAGAGGCCTTTTGTTTTACTTTATTCATAGATGGGAGAAATATTAAACAAGAAATGATTCTTCTTTATAATTAAAGTCGCTAAATAAGTGAAATCTTTTTCTGAGTATTTTTTAAATAAATTGTCTAGTGTAAATAACAATGTAAATGAATACATTATAACTCGTAGCAGATATGGCAGTTTTCAAATTAATCAAATTAAAAACAGTTCGTGTTTTTCTGTCAAATCTTATATCGCAGAAAAGAATCGCTCCTTTTTAGTTGAGTAGCGACATGAGTTTTGAAAAATTTAGTGTTCCTTCATTTACAAAATTCCAAACAACGAAAGTTAAAGAACATTATCGATATCACGTGTAAGAAAGCCCAATTTATCTTTTTCTAGCAATCAATTGATCGAGTTTCACAATCATATTTTCTCCTTCGTTTGCATTGCTTTCACTTTTAAGAGGCGAGAACTTGGTGTTGTTCAATGGATGCGATAGTGTGCGTATACACGAAGCGTCACTTTGTCAGTGAAACTTTTGTACGCATATCATGTTAATGTTTCTTGCCTTCAAATTTTCTCTTTTATTTTACTTAATCTGTCCTTATTAATTTTTTTTTGGAAACGATATGTTATTAGGTAGAAAGCACAACATCCTCATTAATTTTCAATTTATGCAAAAATATTCGTCAGAAAAGCTATAAATTTCATTTACATAAACTTATCTACATGTATAATTAGCTAGTACCAGTAACAAAGTAATAAAAATAAAGAAAACATCTAAAATTTATTTTACACCTGATAAAATGGCGTGAAATTTTACAGTTTCATATCTGTAACAATTCTGAAAAACTTCATTTTCTTTGCGTATTTTAAGTTTTTATCACGCATTAGTTAGTTTTAATGAGATTTTTATGATTCCTAAAGATTGTTATGCAGAAAATTTTACATTCCTTGTGGCACGTGACATTCTAAAATTGTTTTGTCTGTTCATATCTTAAGTTATGAGCATACATATATACAATAAGTGATATAAAAAAGTAAACTGAAATAAAAATTATAATCACACATTAATTTGCATAATTGTAACTTTGTACTAATGAATGTACTAGTACTATTATCATATGTAACGCACAAGATTTACATACTTATTTATTTATGTATGTATGTATATTTCTCAACGAAAGACATTATTTTTTATATAATAATAATTAAACAATCTTCAAATATTTTATGAGGCATGCATGTACACAGCATTCTTCTTTTTTCTATGTCACCTATTTAGAAAGTAAACAAAAGACAACGCTGAGAAAACTTCCCATTACCAGTAGAAACAAACAATTGCCAGGAAGCAGATAGAATCAAGGACATGATCTCAGTCTACGAAACTACATATTGTCCAGCATTTTAATAATTACTTATAAGATTAAATATTGTCTAGTCCTAACTATTTTATTACTCCTATTTCTTTTTATTATACATTGTATATGTAGACATATTTGAAAATATTTATTTGTTATTTTATAAGATAATTTCTTTATAATACACAGAATAGTTTAATAATAATATGCATAAAATATGCGACATATGTACGTATTTATGATACCAGCTTTTATGCATCTAGGTGTTTCAATAAATAATACTATCATATATTTTACTCTTGAAGTAAAGGAGATATACGAGGAGACGAGAAATGTAGTCAGAACAAGAGAAGATGAGTCTGAGGAGTTCTGGACGGGAGAAGGATTGATGCAAGGATGCCCGCTCAGCCCGACCCTGTTCACAATATTTATCGCAGACATGAAGGAAGAATTCAAAAGAGGGCAAACAGGAGGGATTAGAGTAGGAAGTGAGAAATTCTGGTCTCTAGCTTATGCAGATGACGTAGCGGTAGTAGCGACCAGAGAGGAAGAACTAAGGGAAATGATAAAAAGATTGGAAAAGTATTTTGATAAAAAAGAATTGTTACTGAACGTGAGAAAGACGAAGTTAATGATTTTCAGGGACGGGGGAGGGAGAGCGAAAAGAGTAGATTGGAGATGGAAAAGTAAAACGGTGGAAGAAATCAAGGAATTTAATTACTTGGGAGTAAGATTTCAGAGGAACGGTAACATGGCTGGATACATAAAGGAAAGGATAAAGAAGGCAAACGAGACATCGAACCAGGTATGGAGAATAGGAGAGAGGAAATTTAAGACGGACTTTAGGATGAGAATGTACCTATTCGACATGCTGGTACTTGGTGCACTGATGTATGGGGTAGAACTGTGGGGTTTTAAGGAGAGAGCCGAAATAGAAAAGATACAAGTAAGATACATAAAATGGACGCTTGGCTTAGACATCCGCACACCAGGCTATTTGGTGCTGGAGGAATCAAAGAGAGAGAAATTAAGAGTAAAAGCAG